AGAACAAAGTTGGAGAACTCTCACTCTACTACTTCAAAACTTACTACAACACTACAGTAAACATGATAGTATGATACTAGCATAAGAAAAGAAATATAGATTAATGGAATTGAAAGTTCAGAAATAAATGTTCACATTTATGATCAATTCATTTTTGACAAAGGCATGAAGAAAATTTAATGGAGAAATAGTCCTTTACCAAATAATACTAAGACAATTGCATATCCACATGCAAAAACTTTTGGATCCCTTCCTTACACCATACCCAAAATTAACTCAAAATGTATCATGGACCTAACTGTAAGAGCTAATATTATAAAACTCTTAGAAAACATGGGAGTAAATCTTTGTGACCCTGAATTAGGCAAATCATTCTTAGATATGACACCAAAAGCACAAGCAACAAAAGATTAAATTGGACATCAAAACTAAAACTTTTTGTGCAAAGGACACTATCAAGAAAGCAAAAAGAGAATGAGAAAACAAGAAGAAATATTTGTAAATAATATTTGATGAGGGACTTATATCTAGATATATAAAGAATTCTTACAACTCAATAAGAAAAAAGCCCAATTTAAAAATAGGCTAAGATTCTGAATAACCATTTATCCAAAAATGATAAAGAAATGGCCAATAAGTACATGAAAAGATGCTCAATATCATTAGCTATCAAGGAAATGCAAATCAAAACCACAATGAAAGGCCAGGAGCGGTGGCTCACGCTTGTAATCCTAGCACTCTGGGAGGCTGAAACGGGAGGATCACTCAAGGTGAGGAGTTCGAAACCAGCCTGAGCAAGAGCAAGACCCCAACTCTACTAATAATAGAAAGAAATTAATTGGCCAACTAAAAATATATGCAAAAAATCAGCCAGGCATGGTGGCGCATGCCTGTAGTCCCAGCTACTTGGAAGGCTGAGGCAGTAGGATTGCTTGGGCCCAGGAGTTTGAGGTTGCTGTGAGCTAGGCTGATGCCATGGCACTCTAGCCCAGGCAACAGAGTGAGACTCTGTCTCAAAAAAAAAACAGAGAATAATAAGAGTTATTGTCTTGTGAGGTAATGATGTGAAAAAACTGGAACCTTCCTGCATTTCTCGTGGGCATGTAAAATGGTGTAAATTCTTTAGAAAAGTCTAGCAGTTCCTCAAAGGTTTAAACAGAGTCACCAAATGACCCAGCAATTCTACCCCAAGGTATAAACCCAATTCAAGAGATACTAAAACATAGGTTCATATACAAACTTGTACACAAATGTGCATAGCATTATTCATAAAAGCCAGTGTGGAAACACCCAAATATCCACCAACTGATAAATAGCATGTGGTATATCCATACATTGGAATATTAGTTAGCAATAAACAGGCATGAAAGACTGTTACATGAATAAACCTTAAAACCATTATACTAAGTGAAAGAAGTCAATCACAAAAGACCATGTGTGATTCCATTTATAGGAAGTACCCAGAGAATAGGCAAATATATAGAGGCAGGATTCATGGTTGCCTAGGGCTAGGGAGAGTAAGGGAAATGAGAACTGACTGTTAATAGGTACAAGTTTCTTTCTGGAATAGTGAAAGTGTTCTAAAATTGATTATGGTGATGGGTTCACAATTCTGTGAATATACTAAAAACCACTGAACTGTTCTTATTATATCTTAAAAATGACACTCAGCCCCTCCCCCAGATTCTAATTTAATTAGAAGTGGGGCCTTGGCATCAATATTTTTAAAAACTTCCCAGAGTGATTCTATTACATATCCCAAGGTGAGAGCCAAGGAGAGGACGAAGAAAACCAAAACAGCACTCATACCTCCTGGGGATCCACCACACAGTAGTGATACAAATATTGATCCACGTAGATTCCAGTAGTCACAGGCGTATAAAACTGGTTGCAGAGGGCATAGATCTGTGAACCATATATAGACCCAGAAGCCTGGGCAGTTGGGTTGACTCCCATTATATAGACAATTGTGGAAATAAATACCATGATGCCCAGGACAGCACTCACTATTATCACAATCAAGTAGTATCTTCTTGTTCTGGACATGTCAGATCTTATAACACTGGTAACAAATATCACCAACGTAGCAACGAAGCAAAAGGCAGTCATGGCCAACAGGAAGCCCTTTGCTGCTCTTGGATCCGTATAGCTTCCATAGCCGTAACCATAGCCATAGCCATAACCATAGCCACTTCCGTAGCCACCAAAGCTACTTCCTCCATAAGGGTAGTTTATACCACCACCTAGTAAGGAAGTTCCATAGCCTCTGTCCCAGGCAAGTGTGGAGGCAACGCAGGCAAAGATGGCAATGCACATCACGATAATGAGCATAGACAGAATCCGAATCACTCCTGGAGGAGAGGTCCATTTGTAGAAGTGAAGGATTTCATCTTCTGGGTAAAAAGAATATGCTGGCTGAGAAAGCATTGGTCGAACATGCATCTCTCCACCATACATGTCATTGCTTGGTGCATAATGATTTGGTTTGCTGAAATGCATATGAAAACAACTTCGTGTTAGCACTTTTTGGTGGCAAGCAAAGAGAACATATAAAGTATTTGCAATAATTTAAAAAAAATATTGGTAAATGAAACTATTATTACTGAAATGAAATTATTATCACTGAAAGTAAAGGTATCTGTGTATGGAATCACCCAGAGGGCTTGTTAAAACGTTTATTGACACCAACCCCAGAGCTGCTGACTCTGCAGGTCTGGGGTAGGACAAGTTTCCAGGTAATGCTGATGCTAGTGGTCTAGAAAACATATACTAAGAATGACTGCTCCTGGGCTGGGCTCACACCTGTAATCCTAGCACTCTGGGAGGCTGAGGCAGGAGGATCGCTTGAGATCAGGAGTTCAAGACCAGCCTGAGCAAGAGGGAGACTCTGTCTCTACTGAAAACAGAAAAAATTAGCCAGGCATGGTGGCACACACCTACAGTCCCAGAGATTCGGGAGACTGAGGTTCACTTGAGGATCACTTGAGCCCAGGAGTTTGAGGTTGCAGTGAGCTATGATGATGCCACTGCACTCTACCCGGGGTGACAAAGCAGGACTCTGTCAGATTCTATCTCAAAAAAAAAAAAAAAGAATGGCTACTCTAGTACAATATGGAGCAAAGGTTCTCAAAATTCGCTCCATGTTAGGATCACCTAGGTAAGGTACAAAAATGTTCTGATGAAGCACACCATATCAGTTAAATAACAATCCCTGGGGATGGGATCCAGGCAGTTTTAGAACAACAGTGTCAACCTTTTGCCTGTGTGGCACAAGACCTGTATATTCAAACATATAGCATCCACACTGGCCTTTCAAGGTCATACACAATTCCTGGCTACCTGACTCTCCTACTTAAGAAAGGACATTCATTCACTTAATTCATCTGACAGCTACTTTCTGGAATTGCCAGGCTGATGTGTGTTGGGCACTGTGCTAGGCAGTGAGGTACAACAATGAACAGGATGGTGTCATTTTAGTCTCTATACAATGAGTAAGACACTAAGCAAATCCCTACATTATCTATATTACTTTCATGGCAAGAGCTACAAAGTAAACCAAATGTGCAATGAGAGCTCATCACAGTAATGCCTAATTGGATCTTGAATCCTTTATAAAAAATGCTTTGCAGGCGGGGCACAGTGGCTCACGCCTGTAATCCTAGCACTCTGGGAGGCCAAGGCAGGAGGATAGCTCGAGGTCAGGAGTTCAAGACCAGCCTGAGCAAGAGGGAGAACCCCTCTCTACTAAAAATAGTAAAAATTAGTCGGGCATGGTGGTGCATGCCTGTAGTCCCAGCTACTAGGGAGGCTGAGGCAGGAGGATCACTTGAGCCCAAGAGTTTGAATTTGCTGTGAGCTAGGCTGACCCCACGGCACTCTAGCCTGGCCAACAAAGTGAGATTCTGTCTCGAAGTGCTTTGCAAATCCCAGTAATTTAATCATAAGCATACTGCTTGTGACAGACACATTGATGTATCTAAGAACTATGGGCCCTGGAGAGGCAAAATTGACCCCAGCCCCTTTTATTTTCGCCATCATTTCCACAGATGACCTTCCTCACACCCAAACGAGGCATCTCACTACTGGCTACTGCTGACCATGAGAATTCATAGAAATCATCTCATTATATGCGTATGAAAACAAAAAGGAAGTGGAGAAACTAGAGGGAACACTGATAAATTGGTCTTTGTAAATGTCAAGCATGGAAATTCCACAACCCATTCTACTCAGACATTTAGGTTGTCTCTCTTTGGGGGTATTGCAGACAGCGTAATGCTAAACATCCTTGAATGCGTGTTCTGGTACAAAAAGCATTTATTTTTCTACAGTATATACCCAGGAGTGGAATCTGTAGGTTATAGATTTTTATATCTGCAATGCTATTAGACAGTGTCAAACTGTTTTCCAAAGTGATGGTACCAGATATATTACCCTCAACAGTGTAAAAGTTCACAGCAGGCCAGGCGTGGTGGCTCATGACTGTAATCCTAGCACTCTGGGAGGCCGAGGCAGGTGGATCGCTCAAGGTCAGGAGTTCGAAACCAGCCTGAGCAAGAACCAGACCCCGTCTCTACTATAAATAGAAAGAAATTAATTGGCCAACTAAAAATATATAGAAAAAATTAGCCAGGAATGGTGGCTCATGCCTGTAGTCTCAGATACTTGGGAGGCTGAGGCAGAAGGATTGCTTGAGCCCAGGAGTTTGAGGTTGCTGTGAGCTAGGCTGATGCCACGGCACTCTACCCTGGGCAACAGGGAGAGACTCTGTCTCAAAAAAAAAAAAAAGTTCACAGAAGCATTGCTTATGGTAACCCAAAACTGGACGTAGTCCAAATGTCCACCTACAGTGGAATAGGTAACTAATATATCCATACAATGGAATACTACAGAGCTGTGCTGTCCAATATGGCAGCCACTAGCGACATGGGTCTATTGAGCACTTGAAATGCCATGAGTCCAAACTGTGATGTGCTATTTAATGTGTAAAATATAGTGGATTTCAAAGACATAATATGAAAAAAGAATGTAAAGTATCTCATGAATCATTTTTGTATCACATGTTAAAATAATATTTTAGATTCACTGGTTAAGTGAAATATATTATTAAAATTAATTTCTCCCATTATTTTGATGTGGTTACAAGAAAACGTAAAATTAAAAATATGGCTCAAATTATATTTCTATAGTGCTGTTATGAAGCAAAAAATGATGAACTATGAATATATTTAGTTACATGATAAACCTTAGAGGTAATGCTGAAAGAAAGAGAAAGAATACATATAGCATTATTATATTCATATAAAGTTTAAAACTAAGTAAAACTAAACTGAATTGTTTAGGATATATAAGTGGTAAAATAATAAAGAAAAGCAATTAATAACCATATGTCAGGACAGTGGTTTCCAGGGAAAAGGAGAGGAAACAGGGAAGGAGTTTGAGGTTATTGTTTCTTGACCAGCGTGATGACTGTATAGAATGTTTGCTTTGTCTTTATTCATCATCTTCTAAATGTGTTCTGTGCCATTTTCTATAGGTATGTTATAGTTCATCATTATTTACAAAAACAACATAAGTATCAAGTTAATTAGGAGCACTCCTCAATTACTATATTCTCCAGCATATAAAAAATATGTTGTCATAACATGTGTCATACATGTTTAAGAATCAGTAAATGCCTTTAGATGGCCATTAGCAACATATTGTCAATTTTTAAAAAAGCTTTATTTAATAGATATAATCATACAGCATACAATTTACCCATTTAGAATGGACAGTTCAGTAGTTTTTAGTATATTCACAGAGTTGTACAACCATCACCACAGTTAATTTTAGAGCATTTTCTGCTGATACACAGGTTTCCTTGGAGGGTGATGAAAATGCTGTTGTTTTTTTTAATTGACAATATGTTGCTAGTGGTCATCTAAATAAGGCATTTATATGGAAGTTTCATACCATTTGTGAAGAGCAAAACGGAATAAATATACACACAAACATAAACCCAGACAATCTCTTGAAGCAAACAATAGAAGCATGTAACAGCAGTTACCTTTGCAGAGAAAAACTGTCATCCTGGAAGTTAATAGTAAGAGGGAAACTCACTTTTCACTGCATACCCTTTAGCACAATTTAAATTTACAAGTACACATACTGTTTTACTTTTAAAAGCACATAAACATTTAATAGATGAAAGTTTCTACCATACACATTTTTTTACATGTGACAGACTTTAAAGAAAGAAAATAACTAAAGAATTATTTACTTACAATTCATCAGGGTTATAAGGAGGTGGACTTTCCAAAGGCCTTGATGACATGGCTGATGTCGATGGTCACCTGATGTTCAGGATGAGCAATCCCCAGCAGCTCCCAAGATAAGCCAATCTAAGCAACAAATGTAGGGTAATGGCGTTACTACTGAGCTCAGAGTTTCCTTGCATCACAAAGAAAACTAATGATACCAATCTCCAAGTAACCACTCAATACATAAGTATTTCCTTTATTCTTTCCATTGTTATTTTTACATATTGGACCATTAATTCCTTGAGCACAGGAAATCAATGAGCATAAGAATTATTCAGCCTGGGCCAGGCTCGGTGGCTTATGCCTGTAATTCTAGCACTCTGGGAGGACAAGGCGAGAGGATGGCTTGAGGTCAGGATTTCTGAGACTGCCTGGGCAACAGTGAGAACCCATCTCTACTAAAAATAGAAAATTGGTCAGGCGTGGTTGTTGTGTACCTGTAGATCCAGCTTCTCAGAGGATAAGGCAAGAGAATCGCTTAACCCCAGGAGTTTGAGGTTACTGTGAGTTAGGCCGACACCACAGCACTCTAGCCCAGGTAACAAAGCGAGACTCTGTCTCCAAAAAAAAAAAACAAAAAGTTATTCAGCCTGGAATTCCTCATTGTACCTCACATCAAGTCCTACACATCCCTGGCATACAAGTATTTTTTAGACTTGAAATTTTAAGTTATAATAATGATAATTTCACAGGCCGGGCGAGGTGGCTCAGGCCTGTAATCCTAGCACTCTGGGAGGCCAAGGCGGGCAGATTGCTCGAGGTCAGGAGTTCAAAACCAGCCTGAACATGACCCCGTCTCTACCAAAAATAGAAATAAATTAATTGACCAACTAAAAATATATATACAAAAAAGTTAGCCAGGCATGATGGCTCATGCCTGTAGTCCCAGCTACTGGGGAGACTGAGGCAGCAGGATGCTTGAGCCCAGGAGTTTGAGGTTGCTGTGAGCTAGGCTGACACCATGGCATTCACTCTAGCCTGGGCAACAAAGCGAGACTCTGTCACAAAAAAAAATAATAATGATAATTTCACAAATTGTTATTTTATAGCATAGGTATAAATTATATTTTTAAAGTCACTTCAAAGAACAAAGACATGTAAAGAAAATATATTTATTATTTCACATTACTTCTGAAAGTTTTATGTAAAATGAGAAAGCATATTAAAATACACATACAGTAGTGTCTATCTCTAGCACATACCAGGCCCTTCAATGTTAACTAACACAATCTAACTGGTGAAAAAGTGATGCTCGCTATCTGAAATTCCATTGCAAGAGTAAAAAAAATAAATAAAAAAAAAACATAAAAATTGATTAAAATGAGGCAGGCACTCGGGTGCTCATCTATAATCCTAGCACTCTGGGAGCCTGAGGCGGGGACTGCGTAGAGTCGAGGAGTTCTAAAAGCCAGCCTGAGCATGATCCCGTCTCTACCAAAGACAATGAAATAAATTAATTACACCTAAAGATGTATGGTATATACAAAATAAGAATTAGCCTGACGATGTGGCGCGCGCTGTAGTCCGCTACTCGGGTGAGGGCAGTAGGATGCGCTTGACCAGAGTTGAGGTTGCTGGTGAGCTAGGCTGACGCCACGCACTCACTCTAGCTGGGGCAACAAGTGAGAGCTCCTGTCTCAAAAACGCAAGAAAATTATTACAACTTGCTATCCGGATGAGATGGTAGGATGGGGTGTAGACTCTATCCCGGATCGCGCGCGCCTGTTCCAAGTCTTCAAATGGAGCGGATCATTTTCAATATAGGTGACAACTGCACACAATGCGTGAGTCATAATGAGTTCTTTCTCTGAGGAAAGCAAGAGGTGAATGATTTGCCCTGCTAAAACTCCCCAGAGCAGAAGTCCCTAAACATCTGAGAGGAAACCACAGGTGGGGAACCTGCGGCCTTCTGATTTCAAGATTGTTATTTTTTAAGCACCAAAGGAGGCAAGAAAACGTTCGTCTTTCTCTGTTGCGCCCCTTTTAATAAAAGGATTTGTTCTGTAAAATTTGGATTCAGTCAAAAGGCCGTATTTTTAAGGGCCTAAAAGGCCACAGGTTCCCCACCGGACATAGTTCTTGGGAAAGTCACACACAAAGAAAACAGCAACAACTTCAGGCATCATTTAAGGCTGAACTACACGATGAAGAGTCCCAAGAGGATACGTGGGGAAGACTTAAAGGAGGAACAGCCAAAAGCTGGGGTCCCAGAATGAAGGAAGGGCATCCAGGCTGGTCTGGTGCTGATACACATGTGACTGGCTTATGGGACAATGAGGAGACCAGAGGGGAACGTATTGGAATGCTGTAATCTCCTAAAATAAGGCTATGGTGAGGATATAGAGGGCTCTGAGAGTCTAGTGGGAGCTTCTCATCTCATTCAGGTGGAAACAGAAAGCTAGTTCGAGGTTCTCAGCAAGGAAAATATAAATAAGTTTGACCAGATTTGAAGCTCAAAGTGAACAGAGTAAAAAAGAGCACATGAGCCAGCAGCAGCACACCCTGGTGTGAGGTGACCACAGAGGACTAGCTCAGGGCCCAGGAAAGGGGAAAGAAACTAATGTTCATCAGATATCTACCCATGTGCCAAGTGCTTTACATAAAATTCTCATTTCATCCTCAAAACAAACCTCTGTGGTTGATTAGCAACTTTACAGATGCAAAGAGGGTCACAAAGAGATGTGAAGTAATATGCTCAAGGTCATATGGAGGCCAGTGTGTCACTGAGACGTAACTTGAACCCAAAAGATCTCGTGTCCTTTCCACTATCACAACTTTAAAACATGAGTTCTACTTGGGATACACTAGCTTTTGTATGGCGTGGACATCTGGTGTTAACATCCACGAGGGAGTGAGCTGGAAGTCATCTGTCCCTAAGTCCACAGGTGGATTCATGGGCACTGAGAGCTCTCTAGGAAAAAGACAGTTTTAGCCAGATGTGGTAAATATACAATCCCAAAACTAAAAAGGTTTATTCTGGAAAATCCAGTGTTGGAGACTCTGGCAAGGTACTTCACCACATTAACTACAGCACATTATGCCTCTCCTGTTAGCTATGTTGAAATGATAGGTAGTCAGCAAGGGATTCCGGGCCTCCTAGGGACGAAAGTGGGTGTCTTGGTGCCTTGGTGCAATTGCCCCACCTGGGAAGAAGGACAAGGGTGGGCCCCAGGCTCCCATCTTGGTCTTGTCCCACCTTAATCTTGCCCTGAGCTACTGCTACACCTGGGGGAGGAGGGAATACCCTATGAATCTGCCAATCAGAACTTAGCACACCAGCTGCAAAAGAATGCAGAGGACTCTCTAGCCCACAGGCCAAGCCGTATTGGTACCATGGAGTCTGGAAATTGAACTAGAACAACCTGCAGGCGTAGTTAAGACTCAAGTCATGCAGTAGCTCACGCCTGTAATCCTAGCACTCTGAGAGGCCAAGGCGGGCGGATTGCTCGAGGTCAGTAGTTTGAAACCAGCTGGAGCAAGAGCGAGACCCCGTCTCTACTATAAATAGAAAGAAATTAATTGACCAACTAATATATATAGAAAAAATTAGCCGGGCATGGTGGCATATGCCTGTAGTCCCAGCTACTCGGGAGGCTGAGGCAGTAGGATTGCTTGAGCCCAGGAGTTTGAGGTTGCTGTGAGCTAGGCTGATGCCACGGCACTCACTCTAGCCTGGGCAACAAAGTGAGACTCTGTCTCAAAAAAAAAAAAAAAAAAAAGTCATGCAATGGTTCCATGGGGACCTCTGAACTATAAAACAAGACACAGACCATAACTAGGCCCTTTTTGCCCCTTCCTTTTGCTCTTCCTTTGCTGTGACAATGGGTCTGGCTGTCATATGTTGTGTACGTATCATGCTCTGTAAACCTGCATCTTGCTCTTGCTCTATAATCCTTTCTCTCCTCAATAAATCTCATTTTCATGCTTGCCTAACTTTGGTACATCTGGTCACTCTTTGGTCATGAGCACACTAACAACCAACATTTCAGGCTGGGCGCGATGGCTCACGCCTGTAATGCTAGCACTCTGGGAGGCTGAGGCGGGTGGATCATTTGAGCTCAGGAATTTGAGACTAGCCTGAGCAAGAGCAAGACCCCGTCTCTACTAAAAATACAAAGAAATTAATTGGACAACTAAACATATATAGAAAAAATTAGCCAGGCATGGTGGTGCATGCCTGTAGTCCCAGCTACTCGGGAGGCTGAGGCAGGAGGATCACTTGAGTCCAAGAGTTTGAGGTTGCTGTGAGGTAGGCTGATACCACGGCACTCTAGCCAGGATAACAGAGTTAAGACTCTGTCTCAAAAATAATAATAATAATAAAAAAAAAAACCCAACATTTCAGATTCAAATCTGACAGAACCAGCAATAAATTCTTTCACTGATTATACCAGTGATTAGCAAAAAAGGGAACTTTGAGATCCACTGATGGTTAATTCCACATAAGCAGGAAGTTTTGCCTATGTTGTTCACTGATTAAAACAAGGCCTGGCACAGGGTACATGAGCAAATATTTGTTGAATGTTTACATTTATCAGATGGGACCATGGATATTTTTGCCTGCAAAATCTCTTATGCTTTCAGGTTGAAGGTAACGGTAGAGTATCAGGTATTACCCCTGAATGACACTTGAGCAACGTCTATAATCTGAGTATATTAAAGTGTCTAATTAATTTTTTTCCTTTTCTAATGAGGCCTATGCAATCATACATTACTATGTTAGGAACAGAAAATCAATTCAAATCAATTAATTTTATTCTTTAAAATTAATGACAACTCTCTTCCACATCATTAAGGTCAATTCCCAATCTCTCAGAATTAAACCGTGCCCAACTGTATATATTAGATAAAACCTTAAAGGTGAAAATATATTGAATGGTAGTAACATCAACACAATTGGCAAAATTTTTCAATCAATGAGGGAAGACAACTTCTCTACATTATTTTTTAAAAACCACTTTATTAAAGCACAACATACAGAATAGTGGGACTGCAAACTAGTACAACCTCTATGGGAAGTAATATGGGGATACCTCAAACAGCTATAAGCGGAACTACCATTTGATTCAGCAATCCCATTA